ATGTGTAGTGTACTTTTGTCCTATAGAAGTATATACATAGAGGTTTCTAAAAGAGAAGAAGTATGCTGTAATTACATCAATATAGAACTTGCATATGAAACTTCCGCTTCCGCTTCACTAAGCACAGTTAGCCCAGCTGCACCAAGCCCTGTCTTACCATCCAAGAGTTCCATTCTTCCAACTCTGAATTCATCAGCCCAGTCAGAAGCTATTTTCTTCGAAATGGTTCACTGCGAGTTCTTCGTTCAGCCTTTCGGCTATCTTCTCCTCCCAGTGTCCTAGATTCCCCATCGCTCTCTTCTTCCTAAAGCCAATTCTTCACTCAACGTACTTGAACCATGTCTCTTCACGTGAGTCGACACCTGCTTCCATTATTTTCTTTCTAACCAAAAGATCAGCGAACGCTACTGAATATGGCCAGCCAGATCGCTATGGCTAAGACAGTTGGCCTTTGATCGGATACCAGAACCAAATCGACTTAGCCACACTCTACTCACAGACAGGAAGGAAAGCACTGACTTGAACTACTTTACTTTGACCACTGCGCTTTCCCGGAAGCGAAAGGGAATGTCGAAAGCGTAGTGAAAGCACCTACCTTATGTTTAGGCGTGTTGGTTTCAGTGAAAAGAGAGTTTTGCGCGTTATAGTAAGGAAAAAGCTTGAAAAGCGTACTTGCTTTAACAACGGAAAGAGGTTCCTTCAGCGGGTCAGCTTTAGGTCTCGGTTCAGGTGCTGGCTCAAGTACTGGTGAAAGTGCCGGAACCTAAGCGTCTCGCTTGACTTGACTAAGGGTGTGAGTTCCTACTTTAGGCTTTCAATATTTAGCTTTAACAACTTTCACTAGCGCTTGGCTAGTTACCGAAACCCAACAAGATTCTCTGCACTTGTGCTTAAATCTTAAAAGCGGCTAGAAGTTCAAAGCTAAGAAGGCGAGTAGTTGATACGAGTTTACTAAGCGAGCCTAAATGCGAGTTTCACTGACTGAACCCACCACTACCCGAAAGCCGATACCGCTAGAGAAGAGCAAGAATCATACTTTTTCTACTTCGCTTGCCGAACAGGAATTCTTTGATTCAAGATCCCCTTGCGCCCAACAACCCTCAGCTCCTCAGTCTTATACAGGACCCCCACAGCGTATCTCACAGCAAAGCTATCCAATACTGCCACAACATGCTCCACAGCAGAGTTACCCGACAGTGCAGCAAAGACCTTACGCAAGTCCCTCTATTCAGATCACATCAGTACCACACACTTTTTTTAGGGGGGTACACAAGCCAATGCCTTTCCAACTACTAATCCACCCAGGAAGTTCAGTCCTCTGCCAATGTCATTATCACAATTGCTCCCACAGCTGTTAGCAGCTAAGATTGTTGTACTCATACCCGCCAGGCCATTATCAGATCCCCCTCCCTAGTAGGAGAAGACAATTCCCCGGTCAGAAGATTGTCTTGTAGTATTGTAGTAATGTAGTTCGCAAGATAGGGTGAAATAAAGTTCTTTCGCTAAGTATAGGGCGATGCCCACTACAGCTGGGAATCTTGTGTGGGCAAAGAGCTTGTTGGAGGAAATGGATTTGGAGCATCGAGAGCTCCGGTGAAACACGAGCGAGCCAAAGATCTAGAGGTCGCCAATATATCAAGGGAAAGGGCATTCTGTAAGAAAGAAAGTGGTGGCAAGCATCATAAGGACTCCAACCATCTCTAGTGAGAATCATATTTCCGACATCTTAACTAAGGGACTTAGCAGGGCCCTTCTTTGATGAGCAAGCTGGGAATGATCAATCTCCATTCGCTTGGAGGAGTGTTAGCGTATGTGTGTCACTTATGTCTCATGTACTTGTACTAATTGTACTTGAGTTGTACTCTTTGATTTGTTCATTAGTCACGTCCAGTCGTATTGGCAAAGCTGGGGTACGCATGTTGTACATAACCGCAGCCATCTTCTATCAATGCTGAAGTTGGAATTCATGAAAGGTATTCTCCCAATTCTCTATTGGAACAGATAGAGCCCTTTGGCAAGGTTGGGTATTAGGTATAGCCTATGAGGGGGCCTCCTTCCTAAAAAAAGCCTTTCCGATTGCCTCCGCCCCTATCTCTTAAAGCTACGGCATCCCACCGATCCTTGCATCGGCTCTGCTAGTTGGCTTTGCTATCAAGGCATAGCATTCTATGGACTCTTCCACCACGTCCAGAAATGGTATGCCAACACCTTTCTCCTTAGCCAACCAAAGTCTTCTGATGGCAATAACCGCCTTTGCCAAAAGGAAACCGGTGTTCTCCCTACGCAGGTAACACCCTACTCCTATTACCATGGTCTTCCGAGTAGGATATGTAATACGTCCATAGGGACGACGTCACACCAGACGTCCTGCTTTAACTTCCCCAGCTCCAACATAGCGGAAGGGGCACCTTATAACCCCTTACCCGGCCCGCTGCTCATGCCCTTTTTTTTCTGATTCGATAGGGCTCTGGATGAGGCCCTTACTTAAAAGTAAAAGGGCTGAAGCCCCAACTAATCCACCATCTCCGTGGACGCTATCTTATGAACTCCCAGCATCAATGATCATCTTTGCACTGGCCAATTCCGACATAGATTCGGAATACAGCCTTCCGTATCCTCCTCCTTTCTGCTGACGTTGGCTCACGTTGCCACACAATCTAAGGACAGCGAAACTGTCTCCTCTCCTAAGCTTCAGAACCTCCGCTATGTTTCCTACTTGAACAGAGATTAATCCGCTTCCCCGGCTCTAGGCTCCACAACGTTCACTATTCCATCTTCAGCTGGTCTATTCTTCACTCCCCCAGCAGCATTCGTCCGTCTGAACATTGGGACAGTAACGAGCAAAATGCCCAACTCCTCCACATTCAACACAGTTACCGGATCCCCTCTGCTGAGCCTTTTCTTATCTCCTCTGCAGCATACCTAACTCGAGATTCTTTTTTCATAGCATAGCTGGCATCTCACTAGGCTCCGAGGAACAGCCTTCCAGTTGAGAAGTAGGCGGTTGGGAAATAGTGATCTATGAGAGTCTTCCTGACGAGACCTTGAAAGCTGCTTATGCAAGATAGTGCATGCAGCTTTATACTCATCCGAAGCTCTTCATTCTTCATCATTCGTGCCTTGAAAATTGGAATTTCTTCGTCACGGCATAAGGTTTTGAAGCCTGGGGCCTCTAGGCAGGATATGGGGGAGGAGCAAGCAAGCTATTTAACTACTGGTCGGGTATAGCTTTCTGATAGTGTAGAGAAGAGAAAAGGAGAATGCTTCCCCAAAGCCACCCAATGTGAGCCCCGCTGCCGGATTAGCTTTCCTCTTAGTGAGGCGATCGCCCTTCTTCCTCAAGCCCACTACTTTAGTAATTCGGGAAGGATCCAAGGCCTTCTCAAGTCAGTCATTCGGGAACCTCTTTCGTCGCTATACTGGCGTCAATCTTTCCATAAAATGGTAGCCGCTAAGGCCACTCGGACTACCTTTCACCATAGGGGACAACAGGAGAGCTTCAAGCCCTCTCCTTAGCCGGCGCAGCGTTGATATTGTATAACCTTAGGCGGCAGTTGAGTAACTCTCGTCCCTGGGTGGGGTTTAGTTCTTCCCCCCTATTTGGAAAAGAAAAAATGGCTAAGTCCATTTCTTGGATTCTCCCTTACGTGACAAATCATTAAAAAAGCACCATTCTGACTTCCGACAACTATAAAAACAATCGAACAGATGCGGGAATATAATAAGCCAATAGCACTAGGCCCCTATTAGTCAAGCAAGACCCCCAAAAAACTCTTCCCTTCTTAGATAAGCACGAATCCCTAGGGATAAGCGAAGAAGACTTTACCCCTTGTATCACATCAAGGGTTATGCCGGGTCAACCCAAGAATCACTAGGGACTATTTGCCTTAAACTAAGGGGATGCAATCGAGAGAGTGACACAATGATTTTCCTTTTAGTTCAGTGCAAGACCACATTCCACCCACTTTAAGGACGCATGTGGATACACGATCACGGTGCCGTCCCGTCCTCCTATCATAGATGTGTCAAATTCCCATTCCAAGGAGGAAGAACCATAGTGAGAACAGAGAAAAACATACCCAACCCCCGAGTACCAATTTCATGGACATGTTCCCATTAGAGAAGCAAACAGTAAACCCATGCGAATCGAAGAGGTCTCAAACGACCTAGGGAACCACTCCCGAGTGAACAGTCTCGAGGATGGCAAAAAATGTGACGATCCGGGTACACACCTGGAACAGGCCTAGGAAAGAGAGAAAACGGAATCATCAAACCTATAGATATAGAACCGTCACAAAGATCTAGAAACCAGGGAAACGGATATGACGGCTTCTCCTCACAAGAAGACACGGAATGGACACTAGCTAAACGATTCAAATCTTCAGGATCAGTTGAAAGCATAGACGACAGATCCTTCTCCTGGACTCAAAAATATCTTTGATCATAAGGAAGGGAAAAGGGGACTTAGGTTTTCAGCGTGCCCAATCCCATCCCCATAGTCCTTTTACCGACTGGGACCACCCGAAGAGACAAGTGTTTTGCCCTTCTCCCGTAGAGTATGGCTCCCCGTATCGTGTCTTTCTGGCATATCTATCCTTATTCTATTTTTGTGCCTAGACAGATGATAATAGATGTCCGTTTCCGGGATTTCTGCCATGATATTTAATAGAATAGCGGACTTTCTTTCTGAGGTGTGGTCTATCCGAATAGCTAGAAGCAGAGCGATAAGAAGAAGGAGGGAAAGCTTGAAATTGATGCTTCATAATCCCCAGGAGGAGAGGCCCACCAGATATCACTCCTCCGCATAGGGATCGATGGATCAATGGAAGAGAATCGATATTGCTTGGTCGGAAGTGCCTCGTTCCTTCCACTTGATCGCCAGTTGGTTCATAGAAAGAGAGTATGTAATGAAATAATAAAGGTCAAAAGCTCCCCCCCGGAACCGGTTTCCTTTGTTTGCTACCCTTCAAAAACCATGTGCTTCTCGATATTCTATCCAGCAAGGGGCGCCGCCCTCCCCCTCGCAATTCTCCACCCTCTGACCTTCCTTTTTCCTTCTTTGCGCTAAAACAGGCCTATAGGTTAGGTTCGCCTTTCTAATAGAAGTTGAGTCTATATAGAAGTATATAGAATTAGACAGATCGTCTTCAGCATGAACAGAATCACCTTTGTTCCGAAGCAGTGGGAATAGCTTTTTCAAAGCTTTCGTGTGGTGTGTCCCGGGAGAGCAGCAAGCCAAACATCGTACTCTTCGGAGGGACCGTGTCATGTCAGTCACGATTAGAATAAAGGAAGTTCGCTGGCCCAGAGGTGTTGGTTCAAATCCAGCTCGTGACAATGGCTCGAGAAGGAAAGGCGCCGATTTTGCAACGGATTACTCCACACTAAGGGAGAAAGACTTTATGTACCAAAGTGGGGCAATCTAAGAAAAGAATTGATAAAAGAATGCCATGACACGAAGTGGGCAGGACACCCAGGGCAGCGGCGTACCTTAGCCCTACTCGAAGAAGGAGACTTTTGGCCCCATATGAGAGAAGAGGTAGAGGAGTACGTAAGAACCTGCCTTGTTTGCCAACAAGACAAGGTAGACCACCAGAAACAAGCAGGCCTGTTGGAACCCCTACCAATCCAATCCCAGGGAGACCCTGGGAAAGCATTTCCATGGACTTTATCTCGGCCTTGCCTAAAGTGGATGGATTTGGGTCAATCATGGTGGTAGTAGACAGGTTCTCCAAGTACGCCACGTTCATAGCAGCCCCGACAGATTGCACGGCTGAAGAGGCAGAAATTTCCTAAAGAACGTCATCTGGGGGATTCCACGGAACATCATCAGTGAGCGGTTCGCAGGACAAAAGTCTTTTGGGTTCGGAACTCCACTTCTCCACCAGTTTCCACCCACAAACGGATGGGCAGACGGTAACGCCCTATTAGAATTGGAAGAATACCTAAGATACTTCGTAAGGTACATTTGTTGGATGTAGCCCAGTTCTGTTACAACTTGCAGCACAGCGAGGCGCCGCATCACAGCCCCTTCGAGTTGGTCACGGGACAGCAACCCCTTACGCCTCACACTTTAGCTCGTATCCCCACTGGTCGAAGCCCGGCCGCCTACAAGTTCGCCAAGAATTTCAAAGAGCCCTAGAGAAAGCCGCTAAGAAAATAAAGAAATGGGCAGACACTAAGAGACGGCCTGTAGAGTACAAACAAGGAGACCTAGTAATGGTCAATCTCCAGCCACAACAATTCAAAACCTTCAGGAAGGTTCACAAAGGGCTCATACGCAAATATGAATGCCCTTTTCCAGTTAAAAAGAAGGTAGGAAAGGCAGCTAATTCATATTTAAATTCAAGAATAAAGACGATAAGACGCTATATCGTCTGCATCTATAACTACTTATATAAGTATAAGGGAAGGTAAGAAAGCAGTAGCGCACTTGACACAGCATTGGATTGCTTTCCCTTGAGGGGGATACCGGCTTAGGAGTAACGAGCTGGTAAACGGCACTAGTCGTAAAGCGCGGAGCAACGGCCTGGCAATAGCAAGAATGAATGCCGTGCAGTCAGAACGAATGAACGAATCCCTGTCTGTCTGGAAAGAGTAGCTCAGTTAGTAGCTCAAACCTGGCACCATGGAATGAAGCCAATCATAGACTCGCTTTGGACTGTACCATAGCTAAAGAGCTTCCTATGGCCATTTTCCTTGGCTTTCAGGCAAACCCTACTTTCATGTGATACGACTTAGTTCTATTACAGCACCCCCCTTTGTTTTCCAGCAGTAGATTAAAGAATTCAACAACACAAATGAGTCCATTCATATGAAATCAGCAGGTTACAGCTGGGTAAACCTCCTTTAAACAGCTGTTTAGTGTTTCCATTCCATCTCCATTCAATCAAGAACAGGAATTATAGTTTGTTCTTAAGAGTTGTATATGTTACCACGAATTCCAGTCGAATAGCAACCGAGGGAGTCAAAGAATATAAAAGAAAGATAAGGGATTGCTTTCAAACTCAGCACACCAGGTCGTTTTGACGCATATGCATACTCCAATCGTCGAATCTGGAAATCGTTGGTGAAGGTTTAAGATATGGGTGAAGAGAGGTAGTCCCCTCCCCTGTTAGTGTTAGGCAGGAACTAGAAAGATCAGAAGTTGGTTCTGAGTCGGCTGGTAATCCAGAAAAGGCTGCTGAACAGAGTGTCGAAGGGACACAGCCTACCGAATGTGTTCCGGAGTCCGCGGTTAAAGAAGTTGAAGAGACGGCTCAGCCGAACCGACTGAGATCACAGGTAGCGATCCCCACAGCCGCTAAAGGTAGCTGGAGCCGGCTTTTTTCGAGTTTCTTTCTTCCCGCTGCCAAAGCCTTAGACGATAGGGGGGGCGAGTCTGTCTCGGCGAGAGAGATAGGTTCTTCCTTTTCTGTCTCGGCATCTACATATAGCTTTGAGTCTGCATAGTAGATCTCGCTGCCGGCTTCTTGTCTGCGAACACGCGACGTACTTTATTGTCTGTATCCACATACTTGAAGCACTGATGAAGAGTAGATGGGACCACATGATTGTCATGAATCCGTGGTCCGCCTAGAAGAAGGTTGTAGCATGCTCGTCCTCGGATAGCGTAGAATGTCGCTTCCGAAGTTAGATCACCGATTTGCAATCTGATCCTGATCTTGCCCACAGGTCTTTGGTACCCTCCGTCATATCCAAATATAGATACTCCAGTGTGAGCTTGGAGAAATCCCAAGTTCCTCTAAAGCAGGAAGAGTGATGAGATTAAGAGATGCTCCATGGTCAATCTGAACTCTGGGAACCGGAACATCCTTGATGTATGCTGTGAAGTATAGAGGGCTTGTTGGCTTCACAGATTAACATATTCGCAAAGAAAGATAATATGGTATGCTCCTATAAGGACTTATGAGTTGATGATATTTTCTTGCTCCCCCCTCAGAATGGTTACTGGACAAGGGCGGGAGCGCCATAACGTTAACTGCTTCAAAACAGGAGATTCTAGCCTTCGAATCAACTACTTATGTAACTTCGTCTTCCCCGGCATGAAATAGGACTCCCCGCGATATCAACCTCAAAACAAGATATGAATCCCCATCTAGTTGAGTTGAACCCCGGGTAGAATCCACACCACTGATTGGTTTCATTCCCCCAGGAGGCCAGCTAGCTGAGACCTCCCCACCTGCCTCTTTTCCCGATCATTCAATCATCGCCAACTTTTTCCTACTGGGCCTAACCAGGGATGTTTGATAATCCCCCGCACGGGACAGCAGGGAAGAGAAGCATGTTCATCTGACTGACCCCACTCTTTCGGATTCTCTACTTCAAGTGCAAAAGGAATAGAGTTCCGCATCGGGAAGCCTACTCCTCGGGCTGTTCGGTACTTTATATGCTTGCCGCGGATAAAGACTACTTTCCTATTCGCTTGCCTGCGCGCCTCTACTCATGCGGGACCTCCCTCCGAGAATGGAAGTGCCGCCGCCTCATGTGGCTTACCGGCTTGCCTCGAGAATGGACTAGTTGAAGTGACGCTTCGCTAGCATCGGGATTGACGAGCTTGCCTGGCATTCAGGTATTTAATCCAATCTTGCGTTATTAGCATTGACTCTTGCGAAGAAAGAACCTCAGGAACGGAATCAACTGACTTTCCTCACTCCACAAAATGGACAGACTCACCAACCGGCCGATCGCTTCGCTTGTCCCATACCGGAATGACCTACCCAACTTAGGCTTTCCTGGGACTTGCCGGGCATATAACGGTTCTAAAGGTGCTCCTCACTGGTCTTTCTCCTCCGCAGGGTTAAGCCTACTCCTCAATAAACATCTTATCTCATCCACTCAATATTCATTTCCTCCATGAGGCTACTACTTGACTCGGGATAATAGTACTGTTCGGACTAAACTGGATCTCCTCATGCTTGCCCAACTATGCTGACCTTTGATCGCTGACGCGTATAAATTAGTAAAGACTACTTACTGCTCAAGCTGTAGGACTGGAAAGACTTTCTCTATCTCATCCTATACCTCCCTTGCCTGAAAGCTTAGCTTAGCTGCCCTATGACTACGGACTGGCCGACTTCTACTCTTTCAAGCGGTCTGGGGAATAGAGATGCTTGAAGGAGGGATCGGGTACGATACGCAAGCAACAAAAGAGTGTTTATGGCTAGATTCACTCGTCTAGCCCGATTCACGGGATGACAAGCCAGCCGACCAACCCTTAGGAGTGAGCTCCGACTTCTTTATTTCACCACTCCCGCTTCGACGACGTGCTGTTCCTGGAATGACCGACTTGGGAGCTCATAGGTAGAGGGGAACGGAAGATTAGGCGACAAAAGTCTTATGTCGCTGAATAACAGGTCGCGGGTCGTGCTCTTGCTAATTCACTCGGAAATAGGAGACTTGTTGGACTGGAAGCACTAGTCAGTTAACTACTTACCTCAGCTTTATCTCTATCTATTAGGTAGGTGCGCCAAGAGAGGCTAGATCGCAGCGCATTTTGACTCCGGGTAAGGGATTCGCCCTGCTCAATCGTTGCTTGTTGCATCCGTTTTCTTGCAGGGTGAGCTCGTCTTCATTCTTTTGGATGGCCTCGCGTCGAGGGGGATACAATTGACTGTCTCGAACTGATACGATAGGAATTGAAGTCCCGACTTGCTGCACAACTTCTACTTTCTTGAGCTTGAGTAGACCGTTCGCTTTAGGGAAAAAGAGCTCCCGGGGATTGAATGGCTTTTATCTCCTAACATAGTAATGTGATAGTAATATGAGCTTGATCCAAATCCTCCTCCTTTATATTATATATTATATTAGATTAGTAAGGCCTTTACTTGAATACTGTGCTTGCTGCTTATGGCTCACGATCCCTTACCTCAGCCCTTTCCAGTCTCCTTGCTTTCAATGCCCGAGATGCCCCCTATTTGAGTAAGGTGGTCTATCGCGATAGGGTAGGGCGCCTTATTGAAAACTAAAGTCAAGCAAAAGAAAGGGTTAGATCAAGTACAGATGTTGAAGAAAGCCTGACTTTACTCCTTTCCAAAAAAACTTTATTTTGGGCTTCAAGACCTTTTCTATTCATAAATGGAGAACCGGAAAACATGAATTTCATTGACGCTCTGGCATTCCTATCTATTCTATCATACCCATTGGTCCCTTCGCCGACTAGCTCGAAGGATTCAATCAATGGCTCCTGGTCTCCCCTGAGGAAAAAGAAAGCTTTTTTGGGCCTAAGGCATCGGTAGGGGAGCGTTCCGCCCATTACATCAGTTCGATTCTACTATGTGCCGATTTCTTAGTCCAAAGGGAGACTTCACGGGCTATGTATCTCGCTATCGTCGATTCAAATGCCCTGAATTGCTTTCTCTCGTGTGCCTAGACTACTTTCGTTCTACTTTACTAGAGCAGTTTTAGATCTGCCGGTCGCTCTCTTGCGAGTGCTCGTCTAGCTCCCGTAAAAAGAGCTATATCCCTCTCCTTGATCTCTTCTTTTTGTTCTTAGCTGGATTTGGCCTTTTAGCCATCCCTTAGATCAAATAGAGCTTCCTATCCTACTTTTTTATTTCCTCCCACGATAGCGAGATTCCTTTGCTACTTCTTTCCTCGGCTAATGGAATAGAATCCTTATTTTGATTAGTCCCTGCCTGGTTCATTGGTAGTCATCTTTCATCTGGAAGAATTGGTCCTCTCCTTGCTATTGTTCTTTCAAATATATATCCCATTCCTGCCTGTCTTACGGCACATGCGGTACCCGCTCTTGTTCTTGATGTGGCTCTTTCGGAAGTTGCGGAAGATAGTATAGATGCTCCTCTTCTTTCTGCGGCAGTTGTGGATGCGCTTTACTTCTTTCTGACTATCCTGGTGCAGCTGTCTTGTTCAAGCTATGGATCAACTATAGAGAAGGAGTGTGAAAGCTTCATTCTGTCTGGGATAGGGGGAGTCGAAGTGCATTCCCCGCTACGAAAGCACCAATCAGGTCAGCCAAAGACTACAAGAGGTGCTCCGCAGCATCGTGTAGAGATCGGGTGACTATAGAACCTCCTTATGGAGAGAACAAGATTCCAGCGAAGCGGGCGAAAAGGGAAGAAAGAATGAGAAACTTTGAAGGGGGAGAGCGCAAAGAATAGAAGACTAGCCAGCTTCGGGAAAAGAAAGAACTGCTTATGATCTTTCTATATAGAGTCCCAGCCGCTCCTCCTTACACATAGGAATCAGGTTCTGGGATAATTGATCACCCTTACCCTTAGGGGTAGGAGCTCGGTAAGATGCTATCTTTCATTTCAACCAGTTCACCCCAGGCAATACCAATGCATTCCATTCTTTTCGATCTTATACTGAGATAAGTGCTCACTAATGCCAATCTCGACGAAAGAGCTTTGCTTTGCACTGAGCCGTGTAAAAAGATGATTCTAAAGTAAAGAGAGTGGCTATCCTCCTCGAAGAGTTCCCGAAGTGGTCTCTTTCTCCCAAGGCCAACAAGTAGAGGATTTACAGCTGGATGAGAACTCAAAGCAAAGATGAAAGAATCAAAAGATGATCTGGTCTATGCCTTTTACCGGAGATTGGATTTCAAGGAGTGTAACCAAAGAAAAATGTTCTCGTTCCGCATGAAACCTATTGTATTTCTCCTTCGAAAGCGTAAGCTCGATGAGAGAGATAGACCGGACATGCCGGATTAGGATTATTACGTCGTTGGTTGAACGGAGGGGGATGCACACGTACTTCAGTTAGCAGCACCACCGACTCTTCCTGTTCTATCTGTTTCTTATATCTGTTGGATCTTCCTTCCAGGTTGAGTTACTACGCCCATTTTTTTTCTTTGAGGCGCTAGAGAAGTTCGATTTTAGAGCTAGACAGGACATAAGGGGAAAAGGAAGGTAGGTCAGATTCTCACCCATGGCTAGGGTGGGGACATGGATCTTCCATTACTCATTTGTGCCCGTGAAAGAAAAAAGACTTCTAATACCGACCCCCCCCTTACTCAACAGCCCCTCGTTAAGTACACTTCCTTAATTAAGTAAAGTACACTCCTTTGGTCTCGGTTTTCAACTACTTTCTTTTAGTCGGAAGATGCTTTTCGTTGATCTCTTACTGGGGTGGTGTCACAAGCCGGTTCGAATCCTGTCCCCGCCTAAGAACGTCGAGATGGGTGGATTCTTCTTTAGTTTGATTGCAGGACGTTTTCCAAGTTCGTGATCACCGGAAATGGAATAAGAAAGGAGCTCTCTCTACCATTCCTGGTGAGCAGGAAGAAAACCGTGAGCGGGATAGATTAGAGGTAGAGGTGTGCTCTTTATCACTATCACTAAAGGGCAACAAGCTTCAAAAGAAGGAAAGAAAGATCACGGGGGTCAGACACGGCTACGACTTGAATTCCATTGCTCCGTTGATAGATCCAGATTCGCATCCGCCCATCTAAGATCTTTCTTCGTGCCGGGTCGTGAGCTATGTGGAGCGATAAAAAAAAATGGGATCTCTCCGGGCCTGCACTGCCTTCGCCTAGGACATTAGAAAGGGCGAGAAAGGGCTTGCTGCTGGTTCGGAACTCCCCTATTTGAATCACGCACCTATTTTCTATAAAAGGAATTGCTTCTATTAACTTTAAAGAGTGTCTCTCCTGTCCGGCTCGATATGAACAAGGTAGGCTGGTAGGTGGGTAGGCTTCTATCCGACTAGTAGGACATGCAGTTCTCCCCTTAGCCTCCGGGCAGGCACGAAAGAAATTAATTATAAAGAAAGAGGACGACTTAAGACAGCAAGAACGGCCAAAAGCAGTAAGTCACTTGCAAGCCCAGGAACAATTATGAGAAATCTATGAATGTGTCCCGACCAGAAGAAGCGCTAGCAGATGAGATTGGACCTATAGACTAGGAAAGACAGGGAAAGACAGTCTTGGTGGGTCCCCACAACAGAGTGAGAACTAGAAAAGGGTAATTTGCTTTCACTATTTGAAAGAAGAGATGAATAGGCGGAGCTGAACAAGGACCTTCCTTCCACTCAAAGCTTTTCACTCCACTTGCGCCATCGCCTGCTTCTGATCCCGGGAGGATAGAAGCGGAGATCAGCCTACCTATCTAATGATATCGGCCTAACTCAGATAGTGGAACTCCCCTCCCCTTCAAAATGGTTCCTCCCCTGCGACAGCCTTCCTCCCGTACAGAAGACAACCGTCTAGGTTGTGAGCCGATAAGATGGGTAGATTAAGTCCGTAGAGAGGCTAGGGGTCTTCAAGGTGAGCTGAAAGCGATGGGTAGAAGGATTACAGCAGAGCTGACAAGCGGAGGTCCGTTCGCAGCTTCGGAGAGGGATTCTGTTAACTGCTTTGAAAGCCAATTAAAGGTTTAGGAGAGCTCTAGAAAGACTGTCTCGGGACAGATGCGTCGCGCTGGAGGGCTACGATCGTGGTAAGGCGCCTATGGCTAATGACCCTCCTTGTCCCGAACTCGGAAATGAAATAAAGCAAGATGATTCGCGAGTTCACAACCTAGACTCTTCCCACTTCTCAAAGGCGATCAATTCGACTATTAATAAAAGTGCTACACTCCTTTTCGAGTTCTGCGAAAAATTACATACTACAGCCTAAAGCCTAATGGCACAATAAAAAACAGATTTGCCTCAACAAGTCGTGGAGGAATCCGGGGAAATCCTTCCAAAAATGCGGTTTGTCTCTCCCAAAAAATATCAGCATAAAAAAAAGAAATCAGCTATGGGGTAGGCACTCGGAGCAGCAAGATAGGTTGTTTTTGGTCCGCTCCTGGGTCTTAAAGAAGGGTGCCCCGACAATCGTGATCTTGAGTAACAAAACTGGGATGATGATGGATAGGTGGTGCATATGGAATCTCTTTTGTGACTATGGTAGCGCCTATTTCCTTTGAGGATCGAGACTGTCGGTAACTTACCCCTCTACCTCAAGACGATTTCTTTCTCCCCGCTGCTTCTCCCTGCTCCCTTCCTGCGCTTAGGCCCATTCCTAATCTTATTGCTAAGGCCCGTCACTGGCTGCACCTAAAGCAGAAAGAGCAACTCTTTACCGTACTGAAGGAAGTAGGTTTTCTCTGCTCTTAAGTTCGAAGATCCGGCTTTTGCTCCTTATTTCGTTCAGCCAGTGAGATAACTCTTTCCGGCTTAGCCGAACGGGAAAGCTAATTTAACTGAAGCCCTTGCCCTAACAGCCCTTCCTCCAAAACGTCGAAGCAAGACGTCGAATCCGGAATAGCCATTTCCCTTTCATCAAGATATCCTTCTCCGCCGATAGCTTCAGTTATTCCTTAAACTTCGCTTAGCCGGTCCAAAGATTCCATTCGAGCTGGATCTGATGGCTTTCAATGACAGTTCGATTCTCGTTAGTTTCAAAGGCTGGATTTCCCTTATAGTTAAAAGGCTTAGAGTTCCGAAAGTCCCTAATCACCGCTTAAACCCTCGGTGAAACTGGGTAAAGCCCCGCATTCATTTGAACTGCAACTTCTCATTCTAGTTGATGAGTTAAGAAGTCGAATCCAAGTCACGTCGCATACCACTAGTTTGATTGAGTTGTCTCAGGGCAAAAATGAAATTCATTCTTCTTTGGCTCTGTAAGCAATACCTTTCTGGAATTCAATCTTGATAGCCCATTGAGACTCGTACATGAAAGTCGGATCGTCGCCGCTTACACCCTTTCTTTCTTGCCATTTACCATTCTCCGGGTATTGATTCTTTAAGGCCAGGGGCTGGGTATGATTAGGATGTTGCTTCTTTATTAAGAAAGAGATTTCCCGGTGTGAATTTCTCCCCTACTGATCAGACTCCAAGAGCGACAACTGCGCTTAGGCCTACAACGTTTAGCCGTGACCCAAAGCTAATTATTTGAGATCTTATACCTATCTAGTAAAAAGCTTCCCCAGACCAAGCCAAAAGAGCTTTACCAGACTCATTCCGTCTACTGATACCTAGATTATAGATACTCTACTGAAAGAACCTATCGCCATGAGCCTGCCCTTACGAAAGAATTGAATCAGTAACTGCCTTAGCTCCCTGGAGAGCTAACTGGCAAGAAGCAAGAATATTCCCAGCTAATCAGTAAGTAGTGGTCAAAGAGAGAGCGGAGTGGGCAATAGGAAAAGTTTCACCTTATTCGACGAATCATTCTCCTAGTCAATTCGTTAGCTAATTCATCCTAGCCTCACGCTTGCTTCTATTATGATAGAGATAGTGACAGACGGCTTGGCTTGGTTAGTAGTGCCCACCCATTCGCCCGCCTCCCGGCCCGCTCTGAAGTGCCTAGACGCGCCGCAGCCACTACTTTGACTCCTTTTTTGCAATTATGAACTCCACGGAACTTTCTCGATACCAACGCAACTTATCCTTTTTGAGCTGACGTAACAAACTACGCGAGCCCCCTAACGAAGCCAACATAAATCCTATCCGAATAAAAAAAATAAAAGGCAGTTTCATTATGGTGGTATACCAGCCGCCTGTTCTGGAACTTCCAGTTCCAATCGAAGCATATAGATCCGTAAATAGATTTGTATGTATAGCCACTTCAGTCGTGCTCGTCGTTTCTCGAAAGTATCTTTTTTCTGGGAACATGGTCAACCAGAAATTATTATGTTCGCGATTCTTCATCCACCGATGCAGAAAATGCTCAAGTTTTCCATTCTCATATGAGGCCGGAAAGTTTATTAGCAACAGGTCGGCACGAAGTGATTCATCATGCTCAAACATGAGCCGATCGTTCGTTAGGGACGGTTTATAGATCATCAAATTCCCACAAATGGAATGAGAAGTGGGTCCATGTAAATGATCGAGACCTCGCAAACAACAACGTTCCTTCCCCATATGGAGTTCGGAACCCAAAGGCAATCGTTGAGTGAACTGTATCTTCTTTGTGTTAGTTGACCTAAGCCGCACCATTACTGCTGGGGTGGGGCTCGGCCTCCGAACCGTACGTGAGACGAGTTTCTGCCTCATACAGCTCGGGCCGAAGACCGGGGGAAGTTTAGAGGAGATGGGGAGACCCAGCAGCTGCCGGTCGGGGCGGAGCTTGTGAAGAAGCAAGCTTATCCCCCCCCCAAAAAAAAAAACCAATCCTATAGCGCTTCGCGTTCCTTCTATTCCATTTCATTCCGGGATAGGCGGGTAAGACTAATCTAATAAATGAAGTAGTCGTCGTCTGACCATCGGACACCAGACCGCTCGTGCCCGCCCATTCTGTCTCGCCCAAAATGGAATGGCTCTCTTAGTTAGGCTGCGCCCCGACCCGAGTCCCCACGTCCGCTCTTTCTCCGCCCGTAACCCAAGAAGTTGGCAAAGCCGACACAACATTAGTTAGAGCCATCCCCTTCATTCTATGCTGACCCCGGCCCGGGGCTGGCTTTTTGGGAAGTCCGTTCCCACCGCGCTCACGGCCCGGCTGGCCTGCCAGCGGTAGTGGGAATTTTCCCGTTCCCTGGTCAAAGACTTGGGTGGACGCGGGATCTACTCCACGAGGAGCGGTACGGACATAGATGATATCATCACGACCTCTCTTTTCGTACCGCTAGGGATGCTTAACGCCACTTCGCCAACTGGCGTTACCTGCGCTTTCGTGTCTCTCAGTGTGGTCAGCACTGGGTGTTTCCGAGCAGCGAAGCTTACACCCATTCGCATTAGTTCATCCAAAGTTCCTTACCCTTATGCACGAATTATTGAATAAGCCATCTTCCTATCAAGGTTAAGGAGTCAACTGAGCATCTCAGCGGCGGGATTGAATACCCGGATCGAATCAGAGTTCACGCCGCCCGCCCTGAACAAATAGGAGGCGTGGGCCACAGGTTGCACATAAGCCGCCGGGTCGCACGACAGAAGAACACCCAACATACAGATGCACACTCCTCCATGTGAAATATTCATCTTCATTGGAGCTTTTTGGTAGTAGTCGTGACCAACAGCCATCAGCTGTCGGCTCGTTGGTAAGGCGAGAGCTTCAACCCCGATTTCTGGTGGCACCCCCCCCACACAAGCACCGCCCGACGAAGGGGGGACGGGGAAAGCTAGAGGCCCAAAACCTTCGACCCTTCTTTTTAAATGGGGGTGCCCGGAGCACCTCATCTTGTCATTTCGTCGTTGCTCATTCCCGTTAGGCCGAAGTGTTTGGCGTTTCCTTCTCCGCGCCCGCTCACGCTTCGCTGACCTATCGCGTGGTAAAGAGAAGAAAGTACGAAAGAATAGTAAACAGAGCACACCGCAGAAAGATTCTAAATATGAGAAGTCCCCCTTGGATTCGAGAAGAAGGAAATGAAGAACGGGAACGAAACGAAATAAGGCGTTTCTAGCTCTAGTTTCGGGTGAGCTTCTCCGAATTTTGTCTGGTAATAGAATGGGGCGGCTTGCTCTGACCAAGACTCCACTTTTTGCTCCGTCCATGGAGCGTATGAATTTCCTGGAATGTAGATAGACCAAAAGAGGGAATAAAGAGATAGGAATAGGAATTATAGTACCATTGGAAGAAGGGGCACCTATGGGAACATCTCTACTGAAAAACCATTTCAATAGTACGGGTGCTGCCGTGCCACGAGGCACGACCATGGAAGTAATGAAAAAGAAAAAGTTATGTAGTTGGACCATGTGCTCTATCCGTTCGAGTTTCGCTTCTCTAGAGAAGGTGAGACGCTAAAAATGAAAGTGTTCGCAACGCATACCGAAAGGGTACCAATGAAGCCGACCATTAATGACTAGTTCGAACACCAGGAGCGGTCTGATCAGGATCAGACAGACCGCTCTTAGAAAGAAAAGCAAACTCTCACGGAGCCCAGCTCCAACTACTTCTTAGTAAGTGAGGTGAGGTACTTCTTTCGGGGTCGCCCTTTTTTGGTTGAAGCAGCCACGACTTTGGTCGTAGTCAGTTCAAACACATAAACCCAGTCCACTTGCAGCCATGTTGATCAAAATGACTAAGTTTCATGACTTGACCAGTCACTCGCCCTCGTATTATAAGATCATCTCACCTTGTGGTCGACATTCCATTCCCCTTAGTCGTAGGTGCTCGTTCTATTTTTTTTGATTTGAATGGGCCGGGTCTCCCGAGGTACATATGGCCGGCCTTTCGGGTGTCTCGGTGATACAAACAAAAAAAAGACGAATTCCTCCCGTTGGTCGCCTCTCTCCAAGCCAATCCGTCACCAAAGGAGGAAATAGAATCGAATAATCTACCTTCTTTTTTCCTTCCCTCCCCCGACAATCAAGCTGCACTTCCTTCTAACAAGTGGCTGAGAGTTAGCAAGCTACCTTGGCAGGCGGTTCGCTGTCCCCTTCCTTCCTTTCCGGTCCGGCCGCGGTACGGCACCTGAACTCGAAGCTACGATCAGATCCGATTGGATCTGATCCGTTCAGATTCCACAGATCCAGCCGATTTGGTCTGGTCCTATCCGACCCAACCCCAGAACTTAGAATGGCCGGCGTGTTTTGGACAGTAGAACGGGAAGAGGGGGAGTCGTGCCCATTCTCTCTCCGGGCACGAGCAGGACAAATTGAAGACCGAATCGAATACATGTATATGACAGAACGACATATTCAAAAATACGTGATCTGATTGGATAGGCTGCCTGCAGAAAGAGTTTTCCGACCGCATAACAATTCATTCTTTTGT